AGTATTTTCATTTTTTGAGAGGCTTTTGTAAGTTTTTTGTTCAAGGTGAGAATTTAGTTTAGACAGGAAGTAATGAGAACTGAAGTAGATTGGGATGTGAGCTGAACTCAGATTGCTTCTCCCATATTAAAAAAATAGAATAATGCAAGTAAAATAAAATGTTAATTACTAATTCAATAAAATAATGTAGTATTATAGGTATTAATGAGACCTTTTTCTTTATTAAAATATCAAGACAGTTGTATTACCCTGATATTTCTGACTTTGTGCCCCCCCCCAAAAAAAAATAAAAAATATTACAAGTGATTTTTAAATTGATTTTTATTATTAAACAGGAAATTTAAAAACATGCTCATCACAGAAGAGTGTATTCAAGTCACTGTATTTTGAATACTGATATAAATCCTTAACAAAAGAATTAGTGTCATGTTATTAACCGATTAATGAACAATGCAAATACTAATAAATATATTTATAAAAAGTAAAATAAAATGCTAATTACTAATTCAATAAAATAATGTAGTATTATAGGTATTAATGAGGCTTTTTTCTTTATTAAAATATCAAGACAGTTGTATTACCCTGATATTTCTGACTTTGTGCCCCCCCCCCCAAAAAATAAAAAATAAAATAAAAAATATTACAATTGATTTTTAAATCGACTTTTATTTTTAAACAGAAAATATAAAAACATGCTCATCACAGAAGAGTGTATTCAAGTCATTGTATTTTGAATACTGATATAAACCCTTAACAAAAGAATTAGTGTCATGTTATTAACCAATTAATGAACAATACAAATACTAATAAATATATTTTATTTATCAAATATAATTTACCATTTAAAAATGCCATTATGCAAGCAAACAAAAACACTGAATGGCTTCTAAGGGTTATCTTGCTGGAAAGATGCATACTAGCCATCCTCACTCAGTAGCACATACATTTGATCTTTTTAAGACAGTTTTGAAAAATGTAATGTTTTTCTCTCACTGAACCATATAAAGAAATCATTTTCCTTGTTACAGCTAAAGGACACTGTGCTCAATGATGATGATATTGGAGACAGCTGTCATGAAGACTTTTTGCACAAGTAAGACATATTACATCTTTATTAGAAGTCAATGATCTGAATTGATTTAGTAAGGTTTGTCATCTTTCTCTATCACAGGGCTATCAGCTCTCATCTTCAGACTTGTGGCTGCTCCATGGTGGTCGGCAGCAATCCTGAGAAAGTCAATAAGGTGCACATTCCTGCATAGAGATTTCTCTACATTCACAGTTTCACACCTTAGTATGTAATTCAAATAATGATGTTTCCTTTTGTAGATCGTGCTCACGCTGTGTCTCTTCCTTACTCCTGCGGAGAGAAAGTGCTCTCGACTCTGTCACCCCGATGGCTCGTTTAAATACGACACCGGTCTCTTTGTTCAGGGCCTTCTTAAGGTATCCACATCATCCCTTCATGGGAAACTTAAAACTGCTGCACATTACTACCGATAATCATTAAGGACCCTTCTCTTTCCCAGGACTCCACTGGCAGCTTTGTGTTACCCTACCGGCAGGTTCTGTACTCCCCGTACCCCACCACCCACATCGACGTGGACATTAACACGGTGAAGCAGATGCCACCCTGCCACGAGCACACGTATCATCAGCGGCGCTACATGCGCTCTGAGCTCAGTGCCCTTTGGAGGGCCGCCAGCGAGGATGACATCAGTTCAGACAACCTCATCAATGCCCAGGACTCCTACACCCCAGACTTGTATGACCCCTACATACCTTCTTAGTCTGGAAGATGCATTATGATTGGCTGTTTCTTACTGTCAGGATAACAAACTCTTGTGGTCTTCAATTCAAATACACAGAATTTAAAACATATATATATAGTTAAGAGATAATCAGTCAGATGGTTAGTTATTATTGCAAAGTAAATTGTGATGCAAAGCAGAGGGATTTTGTTTCATCATGAGGTTTTTTTCTGCTTATTACCACTATTTAAATTAATATAGATATGAAATGTGAGAGGATAGAGATCGCAGAGAGATACAAGATACATGCACTTGCAGTGTAGGATGGCAGGGACAAAAGTCATTTAGTTTAGTGGTCAGTGTACAACAAATATTTGAGAATCCTCAGAATGTAGCGACTGACCAATCAGAATCAGGTATTCCAGAGATCCACCAAAATAAATGTCATTAAATCACAAAGGACCTGTTAAAATATTTGGTAACGCTTTACAATAAGGTCTACAAATTAGCTAATGCGTAAGGTATCATGAACTAACAACGAACAAACAACATTTATTAATCTAGGTTAAATCTTAATTTATGTATAAATGTACTATTGTTCATTGTTAATCCATGTTCATTCTTAACATATATACGACAGTTTAAAAGTTTGAGCTCAGCAAAATTTGAATAAATTATATATATTTTTTTTTATTTAGCGATGTAGCAATGTATTAAATTGATTATAAAATATTTATATTTCTTTGGAACTTTCTATTCAGCAAAGAATCCAGAAAGATTTATATTCCGACATATAAATATAAGAATCAAATTTTTGATTTTAAACATTGATAATAATAATATCTTGAGCCTCAAATCAGCATATTAGAAAGATTTCTGAAGGATCGTGCCATACTGAAGACTAGTGTAATGATGCTGAAAATTCAGCTTTGCCATCACAGGAATAAATTACATTTTAAAATACATTACATTTGAAAGCAGTTATTTTAAATTGTAATAATATTTGACCATGTCATTCTGTCGACACAATATAATCACATGTCAAGTAGTCAGCTTCTGAACTTTATTTTAGAGAATTAAAAGCAGCTCTTAAAGTTTCTTAAGAGGATATAAGAGGCTTCTTGAACCCTCTGAATCGCTAACTAATCTTTATTTCTTTTCTTAGGAATATATTTCAGGACGTGATGCACAAAGACATGCTTGTGAAGTCCTTCATAGATGAGGTAAGCCTGCTGTGACTCCCTTTCTTCCTCCACTTTGGCCTTGAAAACATGTGTGTGAATGCATCTTTGTTGGTTTCTAGGTGTTTCTGTTGAAACCAGGTCTGTCTCTGCGGAGTGTGTATCTGTCCCACTTCCTTCTCCTGCTGCACAGGAAGGCCCTGACACTGCTCCGATATATTGAGGATGAGACGTAAGTACAGCAGCTTTGAGCTCACAAACTCACCAACCACTTTAGCCTCAGCCTTAAAGCCCCAGTAACTAAGGGGAGCGGGGAGTGTAGGTCATGACTATGTTGTTTACTGTATATCCAGTTAGACTCTTGGTGTCAAATTTAATAATATTGATGATTACAGGCAGAAGGGGAAGAAACCTTTCAAATCTCTGCGCAATCTGAAGACTGATTTAGACTTAACGTTGGAAGGGGACTTGAATATCATCATGGCGATGGCGGAGAAGCTGCGGGCAGGCCTTCACTCCTTCGTTTTTGGGAAGTCTTTCGTTACCAGCATGCAGGAGCGTGACCTCCTCATGAGCTTCTGACCTCTGAACCCTGTGCTTATCACACCTTTGGACAATTTGGGCTCTCTTGCATTTTTAGGTTCATTTAAAATATGTGCTTTTTGTTGAAAGCATTATGAAGAATATCTGCTCCTGAAATGTCAGTTTCGCTTTGAAGTACTGCAATGAATAATCTGTTTAGTGATGCTGGTAAATTCATATTTGTGTGTAAAAAAGTTCTTGATGGTCCTATGAGACACTTCTGTGGCATGTACAAATGCCAACATAATCATTAATTGGTGAGGTGTAACGTGGCAAGGAACAAAGTTGAAGTAATTTAATGACTTTCACCTTGTTCAAATTAAATGCATTTCAAGTTTGCTTTAATTAAAGTAACCTTTGCTCTGTAATAACATTTCCTGGCCTTTTATCTATGATTGTCTGTAGACTTTACAGAATTCAGATGACAGATCTGTTATTTTGCAGAACCGCATTTGTGGCTGGGATACTTTTCTTTGTTCCTTAACTTGAATTTAAAAAAACTGAACTTATGGTTAATTAAATGGCTCATACTTTTGCAGGAAGCCTGGTGGGAAAAGCAAAGAGCAGCTTGACTCACTATATCTAAATACAGTCAAATCTCTGGTGTACAATGTGCAAGGAAGTCAGCAAATAACAGGAAGGGCCCCATAGACATCTTGCTTTCATTTTGAAGTGTTCTTCCTCAAAATATAACATTACTTAACTGCCATGTATGTAATTTACCAAACGGACACTGCAGAAATTGTAGACATCTACAATGATACATTTCATGTTGCAAATGTGTTGACTTAATAAATTGTGCCTTTTGTTTGTGAAGCGTGACTTATTTTATTATACCTAGTACCATACTTTCCTAAACTTTTTATTTTTCCAAATAACATATTTTTAAAAAAAGGCTTATTTTTGATGAGATAACAGCACACTGCATTATTGTAGTCATGGATGGTTGGAGCAGGAAGTTAACACAAGACAGAACTTGTAATCAGTAGTCATATTTTGAAATATTTTTTGACAAAAATATATACACATAAATATTCACACATTTAATATTGTGTAAAATACTTTACAGCACTGATATAAAGCAGTGTTCAGTGTTATATTAAGCATATCTTTAATAATCCCATATTATTTGCACATAATGCTACGTTCTACAGACAATCATTGCCTAAAATAGGGGGTTTTAACATTATTTTCAATGGAGACCACTTAAAATAATTTATTTGAATCATTAATTTGTTAAAATTGTTAATTAAGGAGATCGCTTTTTGTGTGTTCTTTCCCCATCGTTGACAGTTCACTGATCTACTGACTTCAGTCGCGCATTCAACCTGACACAATTATCTTGATTTTTATTGGCTACACTCCATGTCACTCACGCTTAGTATCTATGACCTCGCCCTCTGATTGGCCCCGTCGTCCACAACAGATATGTGATTGGTTAAACCCGGCACATGACCACAAAACAGGAAACACAAGCGTAGCCCATGTAAATACTCCGGAAAAGAAATCGTTAGTTTGAGAAATGGGTGCTGTCGCCTGAGAGCAGTACAAGAGAACAGCTCTAAAGACCATGGCAACGTGAAATGTAATTCCACACTCTACAAGGCGAGGTAGGTAAGCTGCGTGTTCCCAAACATGTTGTATGTGTGCGTGTGTGAGTGTGTGTGATCACGGGCTGCGGCCTACGATACAGCAGAGATTGTCTGGATTTGATCCTAGATCACCTGCTGAGCTCAAGCGCTGGCTGTCATACACCGACACAGCCATCTGTTCGTTGCATTAAATATGATCATAACCCGACTAATAAAGTTGACTGATATCTGGTCTTGCTCTTCACAATCATCATAAGGTTGTACTTGACATGCCAGGAGCGAACGCGTAATTAATACTATCCATCATAATTATCGTGTCGGTTTTTTTGTAAGGTTTATCCTGTTTTGATCTTCTGCTATAATCTTCGGTTTATCCACATCGAGTTGCATTATACAGTTTAATTTGCACGTAGACTGACATACAATGGTCCAGTTGTCAAACAGAAATAATGAGCTCCATTATTGTGTAACATGTCAGTCTCACCTTTTGTCGAAGCAGTTCATGGTAACGTTACCGACTGTTATATGTAAAGTTACATGTCTTTATTTAGAATCCCCCCAGGCTGTATTAAAACACAACTGTTCCTCCTTTAAATCTGTTTGATAGAGTAGCGATAACTGTCAGATGTCACACAGTGAGCTAACCGAGTAATTAGACTCAGTTGACACTAGATTCTAGAGTTGCACCGGTGTTGACATCTCTGTTTCATTTTCATTTTGGCTGTCTCATTAATAGTTAATTTTCTGCCAATTAGTTTCAATTGTTGACTTGGTATACGATACACCCAATCTTAATTTGTGTAAATATGGGGTTCAATCTTTGCTCAGGCTTAATTTTCTCTTAAAGCACATTTTTGAGGCTTATGTACAGTCAGTTTGTTTGTTTGTTGAGTAGCAGGGTTCTGATTTTTTTATTATAATAATTCCCAATCCCAGCTAACTTTTTATTATATAGTTACTTAATATTGAAACACAGTGTCAGACAAACACGTGTAGCTATATGCTGTGGTTGACGGTGTAATATCTAGGGAAATATAATGCAATAGTTTATATCTTCATATAGACTATTTTGCAAGATGTAAACGCTTCCTGTTTCAGTTTGTAAATGTTTTCTTTATTTTACATGTAAAGAAAACATCTTAAAGATGTTTGTTTAACTTTTTGATTGAGTTTTATATTTTCTGTTGGTTGTATTTTATCCCAGCTTTTATGAATTGTTAAAAAATTGAAACAGGAAGTGCTTCTGGACCAGTGTTGTTTACATCTTGAAAAATGGTCTATAGCTATTTGATTCTTCCAAATCCTTTCAGATTTATGTTACTATAAAGGTATACTATAAACTATTACTTCAATTAATTAAATAATTTTTTTTTGGAAATTTTTTATTCGACTCGCAGCCTACTTTTTCCACATTTCTCATTTAAAACAAGCATTTCTTAAATCTTGTAGGTTGATTCAAAACAAGAGTAGTTACAGATTCTTGAAATATTATGATGATTTTTTTGTTGTTGATAATACCGCTTGTGCATAATGGTTTCCTCTGTATGTGTTTATAATGTTCTCTTTTTTCTTTATTTCGCTTATTTTGTTTGTGAAACTTTACATGAAGATTTGATGTAATTTCATTCCGGTAGAGGTTCTATCTGTTCTCACTTTTCTATAAGAATAATAATAAAAAAGAAAAACTACAGTAAGAATCGTAAATGGATCAGATGAAAAAGAAATACTGGTGCCACTTTATATTAAATGGCTTTAACTACTACTAACATCAAAATTAATGATATGATAAAAGGGACTTATTGTGTACATGCATGATTTTACATTGTACTTATGTTTTGAAAATACCTGCATGTAATTACACTGCTGATCCTTCCCTTACATCTTAACTCAAACCTACCCATACCATCACACCTGTCCCATACCTGTATCACACCTCTATAGCAGAAAAAGTGTTTTACAATACATGAACACAATAAGTACATTATACTTCTTTTTTGATGTAAGTAGTACTTGCAGCCATGTAATAATATAAAGTGGGACCAAAATACTTGATGTTGAACTTCTTCTAAAGTGCCCTGGTTGTTATTAGTTCAGAGCAGAACATGTCATTACAGATCTGAGGAATTCTACTGAAAATTTGCACCATTTGTCTTGTCTGTATCAGGAATTTGCATCAAACTAAACTAATGCAAGCATGATCTAATGCTATTTAGCTAAAATATTAGTTTGATGGCGACAATTATAGCCATTGATATGGATGCAAGACCTTTTACTGGCTGTGTGTAGCACCCACAGTTTTGTATATCATTCAGAAGGAAGTTTAAACGGTTTGATTATTCTGTCACAATGTAATAACTTCTTAGTAAAAAGGCTTTTCTTTATAAAAGATGGACCTAAAAGGATGGGCTGCAGTTTATAGTAAAGCACTGTGGCTTATTTTACACACTATAAAATATAAAGTTAACTCAACTTAATAAAAAGGCAACCAGCTTTTCTCAACTTACGAAGTTTTTAGATTTTCCACTTTTTTTTTTTTGAAATTTAGACTAGTTGTTCACTACAATTACCATTTTAACGTAAAATTAAGCGTCCCAAGCAAATACATTGTTGAAAGTTAAACAGGAGTTTGATTGAACCAACATTAAGAAAAGAGTTTCCACAACTGAAGTCCAGTGAACTCAAATCTGCTTAGTAATTGGTACTTACTTAAAATTTAAAAAATGTATTATTTTGGTAATATTTGGTAGATCAGTCAGTCCTAAAAATAGTGCGTCTGACAAAATGGAAGTTGTATTTTTCACATTGCAGATGGAGAAACAACAAGAAACAGCTGTTTAATAATAAAGGATGGAAAATGTCATATAAAATGGCTAGTTGGTGATATACAGTAGTTCAAAAGCTTCATATATGGACCTCAGAAAGAAACATTTAATAATCAAGATGTCTCAAATGGCACCTTCAAGTTACTTCAGTTGTTGCTCAATTACTTGCACAACTTTTCATGAAGAGTTGAGGAAAGGGAAGCGGCCATTTCTATTTTCGATTTGTACTCTTAACATGGAAGACTGCTCCTCTTGTTCAATAGCAGACTTCTTCTAGCTTTAAACCTTTTAGACTTTACCAGAGGTTAGACTAGAGTCAACCTCAGCACTAATTCAAATAGATGGTTCTCCTCGTGTGTAAGCCTGAGGAGCAGGCTGAGAAGAAAGATGTTGATATACCACAGCAGACCCTGTGATACTCAGCTGGAGATTTTTTACCATAGACCCACAGATAATCACTATAGAATCTCATTATCTTAACACACCTGCTTCTGTCACATGATGAACTGACATCATTTGCTCCTGTCTCGAATCTTTTCATCTAATAATGATGTCTCATACTGACATCTCTCTGAAGCAATATATTCTTTACAAATAGCGCAGCCTCTTGTTTCACAGTCACACAAATATGTTGCCTAAAAGTGTTGCATGCAAAATAAAAGGGTACAAGGCTCATATAAGCTGAGCATTGTGTCTGCAACTGCTTCTTTAATTGCGTGGCAGCGTGGGCGACCAGTTTTACATTCTTGCATTTTGTCAGACAGATTTTTTAACTTGTTTTACATGATAAATGATCTAAACAGTGTGGTGCATAAGTCTATGTGAGTGTGTGAATGAGTGTTTGCAGCTGAATGGAAACAGCTTGTGCTGTTTAAGTAGTTCTTTTTTCCAGATGTCTTCCAATTACAGATTTATGGTGCTTTTGGGTTATTTTAGATTTAAGGTGGATTACAACAAGAGGATTTGCTTTTTCTTTTTCAAACACGCTACTATACTAGATAAAGGCACAGTTCACTGTTACTGTAATTAGTCTGTGATTATTAGTAATTAATCAACCAGGATTTGCAGACAGTGGCACTTCTGTGTTTTAATTGGCACCCTCTCTATCGTTATTGTTTCTTCCTTATGATTTTCAAATACATGTCCATGACACACATTTCCCTTACAGTTTTATTTTTCATATTTCATAGAAAGCTAGATTCAGATTAAACATTTTATCAGTCGTGATACAGTTTTATTTTATCACCACATATTTTGGCATCATGAAACGCAAGTTGCGATAGTCTTTTATTTCCATATTGTGATGTAAATCCGAGTGAAACGGCTTCTCGAACAAGACAAAACTTAGGACGGGGCTTGGTTTTGTCCATTGGGAATTGATTGGATGGTTGTGGTTTGCTTTTGCTGTGATGTGAGAAAACATCATTAGAGAAGAAATAATAGGGGAATTTATTTATTTTGATTAAATGTTACAAGGGCATATGAATAAAAAAAATAATGTTGTGCAGATTGTGCACATAAATCGTTTCTATTAAATAAGCCTGCTGCAGTATTCAAAACAAGAATTGCCAATTGTTAATTCATGGTAACTACATAGACTTCCTCTTCAGCAAAAGGCTCAAATGAGCTCACATGACTGCAAACATGCATGTATTACTTTACCAAAACACTAAAATGTGTTGTACATAACCTAGAGCGCTAATTATATGAATGTCTTCATAAATTGATGGTGGATAACTTTGGGGCTGTTAATGAGCTAATTCTGTCTTTAACTTAAGAACCTCCTTTTTGCACACTGGGTCTGTGAATAGTCTGCTGATTGTGCATTGGCAGTTTACTTGATAAGTCAGAGGTTTATGTGTAATTTGATCGTGATGGCTGTTCTTTTTATCTGCAGTGGGGTGTAACCATGGATATCAAAAACAACAGTTTCCCCAGTTATAATGAATTAGATGACTACCTTAACAGACACAACTCTAATTTTGTGTGGCTTCTCGTTGGTAAGTAGGCATCTGATGCGATTTTTACTTATTTTTTGTTTTGGTCTTTTGGTCTACACATCATAACCAGCTAAGCTGTCTATACTGGAAGTGCCCAGTTAGATTTATTCACTCAGTCTATTATTAAGCTTGCAGCTGGTTGATTCGTTGATTTATATTGTGGGTATTCTATGATTATGCACAGTTTCAGCATTTCCAATGTAGACAGACTCAAGTTGACATGACACATTGTTCGGTGCATACACAAGGAACATATAGACCATTTTACAAGATGTAAACAACACTGGTCCAGAAGCACTTCCTGTTTCAGTTTGCAACTGTTTTCTTTATTTCACATGTAAAGAAAACATCTTAAAGATGTTTTTGATTTGAAACTTTTTGATTCAGTTTTAAATGTTCTGTTGGTTGTATTTTATCCCAGCTTTTATGTAGCGTTAAAAAACTGAAACAGGAAGTGCTTCTGGACCAGTGTTGTTTACATCTTGTGAAATGGTCTATACACTACCATTCAAAAGTTTGGAGTCAATAATTACTTTGTTTATTTTGTCAGGACGAACACATTAATTTGATCAATAGTGCCAGTAAATACATTAAAATTTCTGTTTCAAATAAATGCTGTTCTTTTGGAAAAACAAAAAATACAAATTCAACAAAAATCTGCATATTAGAAAAAATTCTGAAAGTTCATGTAACACTGAAGACTGGAGTAATGATGCTGAAAATTCAGCTTTATTATCATAGAAGTAAATTACATTTTAAAATATAATTGTCATTTAAATTTTTTCAATAGTACTGTTTTATTGTTTTTTTAATCAAATATATTTTTTTTAAATTTACAAAAATAGTACCAACCCCAAACTTTTAAAAGGTAGTGCATGTCTCTTGCCAGATTAGTTTAAACTGTGTTATTTGCTCTATAAGGGTAATATTCAGTCATTGAGGGCAAGGGTTTAAATAAGCATGTTTTCCACAGCCACTATTATGTCATGCGGATGGATCATATACCTGACATACTACAATTCCCGCAATATTGGACTCGTCCTCACCGTCATCATTAACCGTCTCTATAAGAATGGATACATACACATCGGTAAGTAAGTCTTGATTCTGTTTTTATTTGCTCATTTTTCTTTTCCATTTACTTTATTTATTTATTTATTTTACAGGCTCATTTTCATTCTCTGTGCTGTCGGGCAAGGTTATGTTCCGAGATGTCTATTTCGTCAATGAAGATATGTCTATCAGGTACACGGACATATTGCAACTCTTTGTCCTCTATTGAAATCCTATCCTATTTTATTCCTATTTATGCTCAGTTGACACTCCTCTTATTACTGTTGTCTGTTTGTTGACCATTTATGGGTTACACCCCATCTTTTTTTTACTCTATTGTAAACTTATTTTTCAGAATTCAAGATGGGTTACTCATATTTCGTTGGTGGCAGATGTACAACCCCAAACAGAAACAACATGGTCAGTGCAAACACATAACAAACAACTTTATTTTGTTGCATTTACTCAACTAACATGTGTAATCATAACATTAATCCAAACATTTTTTTGTAATTGTTGCTCTTTGATCGGATTGATTCGTACTTGTATGTTGATTTAATGATAATTCTCCACAAAATGTGGGAGAAACACATGTATAATGATATTTTAATGGTTCTACTGTGTTTCCAGATCCGAAGGCTGAGACACGGCTCTATGTCACCGTTAACGGATTTGAGTTCCATGTGTATAATCGCACGGATCTGTACGCTCGGCTCCAGGAAATATTTGGCCTAGAGCCCACCCTTATCCCACCCCATCGGGATGAGGAGAAAGGGCGAGAGCAAAGGGATAAGTCCTTAGAGAGGTAATAACCTACTTAGATTCTGGTACATAATAATTTTTGAAATGTTCAAATTCTTTTTATCCTGTCTCAGCTTTTATTACGCAGAAACAACAATAAATAAGCTATTTATAGGCTGATGTCTTCAGTTTACAGACAGACCAGCCCAACATAAAAAAAAAAATCTGTTTGCTAAACAATGGATGATGTTGGAAAAACCTCTTTGAAAAAGTCAATTATTCTTTTGTTTGTTGACGGTAATGGTGCAGATATTACGTACTCTTCCATTGATTGATTGTTCATTGAATATTCTGTCTTAAATATTTGCTTGGAAGCATTCACTGTATTGGTGCTCATGAATGAAGATGTGTTTTTGTTACTTTTGAAGTGTTCAAATCAAAGCTGAGGCCCAGGAACCGTCGTCTTCCTGGAGGTCTCTCATCCCCGTCATCAAAGTCGACATCAGTACAGTGAGTATTGCAGTCACAGTTTCTCTCATTCACCTGTCTGACATCAGCTTGCTGCTACGGCATCATTCGTAGCGTATATTTAGAGCCGTACAGTCTTCTGAAACATCACGAGGAACTAAAATAAACACACTTGATATTCACTCGCTGGTCTTGCCTTCAGGGTCGCGTAGCATTTGGCAATCACCATCTTCCTCAAACCCTCTGTATGAATTTTGACGACGCCTTCCTGACATATGCCACCAAACCACCCAGCAGCCACTTGGATCAGTTCATGCACATTGTAAAGGGTTCTCTGGAGAACGTCCGTGTCATGCTGGTGCCCAGCCTGCGATACCTGGGCCTTCAGAATGATGAGTGAGTCTAATAATCTCTTGTCTATCAGATTAGATTAGATTACATTCTACTTTATTGTCATTTTGCAAGTAGAGAGCCAATGAAATTGCTACCTATCAATCTATCTAACCTGATATATTATTTTAAGACTGCATTAAATCACATAAGCACAGATTTTGGTTCTGTGACGTGTTAATTATTGAATCAGTCCTTTGAGTCCTTTGTAAATAGCTTTAAGTTTACATTGCCTCTCAAAAGTCGGTAGGATTTATTTAATGAAAGAAATCTCTTATTTAATCTAAAATACAGTAAAACTGTAATATTGTGGAATGTTATTATGTGTATTGAATACATTAGTACTCCCCCTTTTGTATTAAGTGTTAATTTTATTTTTAAAAACTGCCCTGATTGTGTATATATCCTCAGTGATGAGCCATGATTTGTTTGCTAGTGGTAAATTGTAGTAAAAGGATGGGCATTATCATTCTAGGCATATTATTTTAAAGAATTTTTGATATGTTTTTAAGTGCAAGATGTGTCATCAATACCTTTGGGCATTTTCTGTTCTTCAACTCATTTTAACATTAAGAGCAGGAATCTTGCATATATAACACACGGATTTCATGGGATATTTAAACACCATTATGCTACAAATGCAGATGGTATGAAGTACGGCTAGTGGTCGACCAATAATGTTTTTTTTTAATTGCCGATATCTTAGAGAACAGTGTATTTATTAATTATTTTTTTTTTTTACTTGATATTTAATAAATTTATATTATAAATAATATTAAAATGAATTAAAAAATAGCTCAAATAAGCAGTCGAAATAAAATAAATGGGTGGACCACTACAGTATGATGGCCAGCGACCACTTCAGTGCAAATGATGTGTAGTATAAATAGAGAAGATGCTGTGTACAACTGATAATGAGGTATATGTGGCCAGTGACCATACCGATGCACATGGTATTGTGTATAAATAGAATATGGAAGAATATGGCAATATGACTGGATTGATGCAGAATAACAGGGTATAATAAATGACAAATGACCACTACAGTTCGAATGATATGATATACAAAAAAGAAGAGGAGGGACATTTCTTAGTTACACAAGCAACACTTTTTTATGGCTTTTTTTACACAGTTATACCTGGTAATGACAAGCAACCATTGCAGTGCAAAGCACATTAGTATATAGCACTGAGTGACCAGGGGTAAAAATAATGAGGGAAAAAATAAAAATAAATAATGCTTCAAATAATGAGGTCAAGTAGTGCTAAAATAGTGCAAAATGGCATAAATGCAGTACAGATTTGAAGTCGGACACTTCATTAAATGAAGCAGCCAGAGTGAGAGCACCATAGACTTTCACTGCACTATTCTGCCCTACAAAGCAAAAAAGCAGTAACTGCAGTTTTGGTAAAGCATTAATTATTACAATTTTCATGACATTCAAGGCATCCTTTGTTATGTGACGAAACATCTTATGTTAAATGCGTGTCGTTTTAGAGAAAAATGGTAGTCGTTTGTACAGTAACTGCAAAAAGCCCTAGCAAAAGTCATTTTTCTCAGTTCTGCACTCTGCGTAGTTACTGCCTTTTTGCTTTGTAGGGCAGTATTGTTATTTGAATATTATTATAAAGGGTTATTAATGTGCTGTTTTAAACACAAGGCTAATTTAATTAATCAGAGCTGTTCATTTTTCATTAGCTACAAGTATATGCACTGATCTGTGTAATTTAATTTAGATTGAAAATAGTATTAACACAATGACCTGAACATTAATTGCTTCTCGTATAGATCAGGTTTTTCCCAATGTCAATTATGGATTAGCTGAAAGTAAATACTGGTTAATTTTCATCGATGAATGCTAGAAGATTAGTCAACCGCTTGATCAGTAATGATTCGTGATCTGTTGGAGTGATGTAGCAGTTGTTTAAAAAGTGTTTTCTCGTCTCTAGACCTCCCAGGCTCATGGGGGAGGGCTTTGTGGTCATGCAGTCCAATGATGTGGACATCTATTACTACCAGGATGAACCAGGTGAACATATGCTTTGTCTTTCAGTAATTTTGAAAGTATAAGGCTGGGTTGTTGTTGGATATAATCACTTAAACAGTGTGTATTTTGTAAATAACACATAAATGTTTCCTGTGTATGTATGATTTTTTAGGTTTGGTCCCAGAGGAAGTGGAGAATGGGGATACAGAAGCCTGCTCTGAAGATGCCAAATTACAGGACTTGCCTCCATGCTGGGGTTTGGACATTGTATGTGGCAAAGGAACAGACTTTAACTACGGCCCATGGGCTGACAGACAGAGGTACCTGCCCACAATCACACTAATATGGTTGTAGTTGGCTGTGTTATTCCGGTTCTACAAGGCTTATGAATACTAATGCAGAAAATAATTCACAGTGTTGTATAGCTGTTTTATATTTTAATATATTTGTAATGTAGTTTATGTAGTTTATTCCTGTGATGGTAAGGCTGAATTTTGAAAGCCTCCGGTACAGTCCCGCATTCTCAGACCCCTCTTTTTTTCGAGACTCAGGGTCACATGATCCTTCAGAAATCATTCGAATATGCTCATATTATGCTTAAAAAGCGTTTTTGTTATTATCAATGTTGAAAACAGTCGTGCTGCTTAATATTTTTGTGGAAACCATTATAGATTGAAATAGAGTTCATTATAAATCTGTGATAAATTTTACTTAATTACTCCAAACATTTGAATGATACTGTACTTTTATAGTCCATTCTTTATATGTGTGATTTGACCCCTACAGAGACAGCCTGTGGAAGTTCTTCTTGCCTGCAGACTATCAGCCAATGAAAGTGAGCGATGTTGCCACACCAGGCAAACCCCGACAAATCCTCGCCTTTGAGCTGCGTATGAACATCATAGCTGATGCAACAATAGACTTGCTATTCACCAAAAATAGGGTATTTACATGCATACACACTCCTAATGATTCATTTTCTCACTCTCCTATGTGGGAATGTTGGCTTGCATTCATAAGAATATAAAATCCTGAGCAAGAATGTGGACCTCCGTCTTTGTTCATTCACTAACCCATAATCCATTTGGCTTCACAGGAGACTAATGCGGTCCATGTGAATGTAGGAGCAGGTTCTTACCTCGAGGTCAACATACCCATGACTGTTGGGGTGAATGGTAACTGTCAAAGCTTATGGAAAAATTGCTGAAGTAGTTTTTGAGGGTGACCCTTGACCGTTGTTTGTTTAAATGTACACTATATAACTTTGGATTATGAAACAAAACTGCATGCATTCTGCGGAAGATCGTTGTTTTGGTTGTGCTTCGGCTCTGCGTGACTGCAAATAAATACGACCCTTCACAATTGATAATGCTTTACAATGAACTTTGTTAGAGAGCTACATATGTCAATTTATCTGTTCAATAAAATATCTTACTCACCTGTTGAGGAGAAAACCCCATCTCCGCATCACTTTTAGGAAAGTAGCCGGAGCAAATAAACAAAGTAGCGACGTATGTACGCAATTTCCTGTTAAAACCATCCTGTCAGGTATAACATATAAACACTTATAATAGGCTTACCATAGTGCATCAGGCTAAGAGAAGAGCATGTTGTGGAAAAAGGATTGGTGATGTATTGACTCATTATTTAAATTTTGTTAATTTTAAACAAGTTACATAGTGTACATTTAATATAAATTTAACTTGACACATTATATTATGAATGGCAATTTTCCCGTTCTGTGTTTCTTATCTTGCTAATACTGTCTTTGTCTTTAACCTCTGTTTAGGTTATTCTCCCACTGTTAAAGGCCAGTTATTACATGTTGATACAACCAGCAGTATGCAGTACAGGACGTTGCTAGAGGCTGAGATGCTTGCTGTGAGTACGGCACACGATTTTGTGTGTTTGTAAGAGATATGCAAAACTACACATTTCCAAATTTGACTAGTCTGACCTAATAATACAGACTCCAAGCATAGCCCTTCAAACTTTTAATGCAGAAAACTATGCTGTTCTTCCATAAACAGATAAAGGGAACATTGTTTGCTGCAGGCAATTTGAGATCTGACAGTAATTGTCTTGGTATTTATTGTCAATGATGGGAAAATGTTACAAAACTTGAATTTAGAGAAGTAATCTTTGTAATAATTCCGATATTACGTATTATGAGGCCAATTTGCCCACTCAGCACTTGTTTTTGTAAAATCTCTGGGGAGGGCTGTAGCGTCAGCATAGATGTGTTTTGGGCTTTTGAAACAAATGATGAATGTAAATTCTGAATTTTATTAGTGATAACTGTAATAGTACCTATGATAAAAACAATGAAATCTACTCATTCTCTTAAAGGGATACTCCACTTTTTTGTGGAAATAGGCTCGTTTTACAACTCCCCCAGAGTTAAACAGTTAAATTTTTTCCATTTTTGAATCCATTCAGCCAATTTTCTGATATTTAGAAAAATATCAGTAACCAGACAGTTTCTGGTCCCAAATATAAGGAAAAAATATATACTATGGAAGTCAATGGGACCAGAAACTGTCTGGTTACTGATATTCTTCTAAATATCAGAAAATCGACTGAATGGATTCGAAAACAGTATAACTCAACTGTTTAACTCTGGAGGAGTTGTAAAATGAGCCTATTTCCAAAAAAAAAAATATCCCTTTTAATGTCCTTGTACATGTCTTAAATGTTCAGCTTAAAAAGGCAGGGCCATATTTTGCTTCATATTCCCCCAAAAACACTTATAGTACCTAAAATCCTAAAGCTAAAATAAACTAAATTTAAAAAAAAGCTAAATAAAACAACTATTGAACTATCCTGCATATTAACAACTGTCTTTGAACTCCTCAGTTTCATGTCATAGCCAGTTATCCGCGTGTGTGGAATATGCCCCAGTCCTGGCAGTGTGAAATCGAGGTTTACAAAGCCACGTACCACTTCATCTATGCACAGAAAAACTTCTTCACAGGTAATGTTTCTCTCTTACCTGTAAGTTACGGTACCATGAGCCTATGTCTGTCCTCCGGCTGACCTCCTCCTGTTATGATCTGTAGATCTGATCCAGGACTGGGCCAGCGATAGTGAACCGGACATCTACTCATTCGTTCCATATTCATGGAAATTTAAGATACTTTTTCACCAGTTTGAGATGATTTGGGCCGCCAATCAGCACAACTGGATCGACTGCTCCACCAAACAGCAGGAGAATGGTAAGCAAGACTTTCAGAATGAATGCAAGACTCAAAAATAATAGAGTGTCAGAAATGAAAATACTATTAGGAAATCTAACAAATTAATACGGCTTTGAGAACGCACGGCACGCAATTCTGAAACTATATAATTCTATAAACTAGTCACTAATCAACTAGCTGGTTGTTGGAAGATTAGTCAACTCTTTCCACTTGATGGTAATTTGAGTTATAATTGTTGGATTATATTAAAATAGATTTTTTTCTATTGTCCAAAAGTTGGTCTATCAACTTTTTTTAAAAGATCTATCCTTCTATCGTTTTTTCGTCCTAAAGAAGGATGAAGAAGAGATTTTGTGTGTTTTATGTATTTATTTTTTTAGTATTTTTTGTATGTTTGTTTATGTAATAATTAATTTATAAAAATAATAATACATTTGTTGTATAGCACCTTTCATAGAACAGATACGTCTCAAAGTACTTTACAAAAGACCAAATACCATAAATAATATAACATAAGATTAAACATGATTTCTAATTATAATAAAAGATAAAAGTATACATGAAATGCATAACAAAATAAATGATAGCATAATTGTCCTTGATTTCTGAAAAACTCACCACCTGCTCATGCTCTTTGTCTGTAGTTTATATCGCTGCCTGTGGGGAAACGCTGAATATTGACTTCACTTTGCCCTTTCACGAGTTTGTCCCGGGCACCTGTAACACACGTTTCTGTTTGAGAGTGAGTGTACACCCTCGCAAACATTTACACGCACTTGTCTGCTGTGCTGAATGATGTGTGATCAAGCATTACAGCCTGACATTAAAACATCAGCGTTCACCTAAATCCACTCCTAATGACACTGAACTCCCATACAGGCTGAGGACACAGACATGCGCTTGTGTCTGCCTGACTGTAACCCCAGCCGGTACCCGCTACTCACCCTTACTAAGGATTACCAGCATTACAAGACCCCTCCAGAAAACAATATGCCAACAGAGGGGCAAGGAGCACCTCCCAAAAACAGCAAACCTCGCTGGAGGAACATGACTCAAGCGTGAGTTAAAGAGCACCATTGCTCTATTTCTGTCCCTCTTCTTTTCTGCTGCATTCTTGCTTGCGCTGGCTGCCCTTTGACTCTTCTGTTGTGTGTGTGTGTGTGTGTTTGTTTCCAGGGCTGGTTGGGTGGACTGCTGGAGTGTGCCGAACTTCCTGCTCATTATAGACTATACTTGGCATCCCATCTACCCTCAGAAATCTGACCAGCAGCTCAAACAATCATGTAGGTGTTTGAATAATACCAATAAGTCATGCAAAAGCTTACTGTTTAGATACCAAAATATGGTCAAACCACATTTATTTACCAACATCATAAAGTGCATAGAAGGATGGTTTTTAAACTGTATTTATGCTGGACATTTAATTTAGGGCCCATCAGCCAATATTTGAGACCCATATGTTGCCCAAGCTGTGTCTGGCTACTTTTTTTTTTATCCTATCATCTTCAGAAGAATATAAATATTACACGTGATCATCTCAGTAATTGAGACATGCATGTCCTTACATAAAACATAAGATTCTTACATAGAATATTGATACCAAATGTTTTAACTTGTTACTATTACTTATTTATATACAGTTATACGCCATATAAAAGCATAAATAAATTACATTTTTTTGTAAATGGTTTGTCAATATTGTATTATATATAATGTTAGTCAGTTTATGAAATTAGTTGTTATATTTTTAAAGATCTCTAATTGTTAATTCACAATAAATAAAAAGTTCACAGCACTAAAAAAACAATCATTTAAATGTTATTTTTGTAAACGTTGTAAAAAAAATCAAGCATTTAAGCAAAATACTTGGTCAGACAGTCTCATTTCAAACGATTAAATGAATCAGTTCAGTTAAGTGTCAACATTTTTGACTTGTTTGACTTGCGTTTACACCTAATATTACGTTTTTGTGCAGTATCAGAAATAGAGGAGTCCATGCTGTCAGCACTGCGCCCGCCAGAGCTCGCTCCACCTGTGCCTCCTCCACCTCGAATCTCCTCTGACCCCAGCTTGCTGCCACCTGACAGGTTACATGTGGAGATGGAGCTGAGCCCAGACTCCCATATCACCCTTTATGGTCCTCTCCTCAGGGCGCTGGTGTCCATCAAGGTACACATCTATACATATGTACTCGAAGTCACCATGAAACAGAAATAGAGACTTTTGTGACACAAATCCCAGCTTCATGAAGAATGAATGCTATTCCTGATGTCATGTGAGAGACGGATTGTCCCGGCCTCTCGCCAGTAAACGCATCATTAGAGAAGAGATGTCACTGCAAGAGGGAGGGGAAGTTAATTTGATTAAAGATTATGAGGGCACATGATTGAATTTAAGTAATGATGTGCATGGATAAATCATTTTAAAATATTCCATTAAAAATAAGATTTCATTGTGACTTTAAACCGTCCAGATGTGTCTAATCACTAAAACCACTAAAACCACTGACTTCTATTTATTCAAACTCATGTTCTATAAAATCCCTGTTATTTTCCTCTGTGAAACACAAAATGCTAATTCTTTTTAACATAGTGACAGTTCATAATGACAGATAGAAATTAGGGTGAGTAAATAATGACTTTTTAAAATCATATTTGGCTGGCATATACATTTAAAATAATTGTTGATGACTGAAATGTGCAGGAAAACTATTTTGGAGAGGATGACATGTACACGGACTTTGAGGAGTCTCTGTCCAGCCCTGTGCTGAGCTCCTGCTCTTCATCATCTGGTTGGACCAGAGTTGGCCTGGAGGAGAACCGCTCTAAAGACGCCCCACATCCTCTCTCCTTACGGCCCTGGGACATCACCGTACTCGTCAATCTGCACAAGGTCCATGGACGCCTTCCAACGGTCAGTACCGCTTCAGAGGAGACCAGTGACTACATTCATAGAAGCCAGTGTCCCAGACATCAGTGATGACATCATTGTTAAATTAGCATATTTATGATTGTGTGACTATTGTTTTGATGCCTTGCAGGCACTGATATTTCCTTTAGGCATCCCAAGTGTGCTTGTAAATCTTGTTTGTACTCTTGTCTGCAGCACTGTAGCAGTGACGGCCCAGAGGGTCCTACGGGCTTCCTGGAGCGTCTGTGTTTTGAGATGAAGAAGGGTTATAAGGAGACCATGCTACAGCTTGTTCTCTCGCCTCTACATGTGTTTGTCAGCGATAACTATCAGGTGGGAGTGGGGAGGAAGTAACCCCATCCATATTCTCTCAGGTGCTGGTATTTAAAGTTGTCATGTTTCTGAATTGGGTAATTTATTCCCTTCTGAGTGTTTAGCGGCCTACGGTTGATGCTGTGTTGCGAGATGGGCATCTGAGCCTCTCAGGGTTGCAGATGAGAGCCCACGCCATGTTCTCAGGGGAGGGCTTACCGGCGGGCAGTGACACACTCGAATATGCTTGGCTCATCGACGTTCAGGCTGGAGCTCTTACGGGAAGAGTTAGTGTGCCACAGGTGACTCAACCATTCATTTTGACGCTACAAAAGGGATGCTTGACATTTGTAAAGGAATATTTCTAGCAATATCTGTGGCATAATCACCTCATACAAAGATTTTTCTCGACGTGTCCCTCTTTGTGTTTGATTGAATGAAAATGTTCACAGAAGTTACACTTATAATAGAAATAAAACTGGCATGTGGGCCAGAGAATTTAAAAGCAAGAATGTGAAGGTTGGAATTTTGTTAAAAAACCGACGTGAAAAACCACAGAAAAGAATGTTTGAACATTTATTTGTATTGCTGCTTGCTTCCTGTTCGTTTGTACACACTGAGTGACACGTCAACACAGTGCCACACAAAGACATTTTTTTTTTCACACCTTATACTCTACCATTCAAAAGTAAGATAAAAAAATAATAATAATTAATGCTTTTAATCAGAAAGGTCACGTTATATTGATCGAAAGTGACTGTAAAGACAATTATAATGTTACAAAAGATCAAATAAATGCTGTTTTAAAAATTACTGAAAAAAAAAATCAGTTTCCACAAAAACATTGATCAGCACAATGTTGATACTTTTTCAGCATTGATAATATTGTAATAAGAAATGTTCTTTTAACATCAGTTTAACATTTTATATGAAATATCAAACCAAAAGATCTTTTATAGTTATTATAATGTTGTAAAAAGTACAATGTTTTTTATTATTATTATCTGCCATGCATCTAGCATTTGAGGCTGTTATAGCAATAAAAATAAATTTGTCATTAATATTATGGATTTATCTACAAAGGTAATCAAAACAAATTGGGAACCTTCACATATTTCCCCCTTTAAAAGCTGCTAAGTGTACCACTAAAAGGGAGCTAATTCAAGAATTATTATTTTAGTCTAGTGACAGCATTAATCACAGTTTAGTGTTAATCACTGGTTGTGTTTGTTGCAGTGTGCATCTCTTCTGGAATGGGGCGAGAGCTTTGTGTTTCATGTACTGTCCCGAGAGTTCCAGCTTGAACAGCCAAAACCATCTGTCACCTGCCAACATGGAGTTGATCGTAGAGTCTGTGATGCCAAGGTATTAAAGAAAAGCTCACACACATCCCTGAGTTGTCATAATCGCATCATTTTTACACGGTCTGTATGTGTAGAATGCAGCCTTGCCTGGTCCCTGTCGCACATCCGAGGATCTGAAGTACACCATGACTCGACTGACAGTTGATGGAGCCCAGGTTTTCATTGTTGAACACGGATGTGCAGCCAATATTAAGGTTAGTGACTGTCAGAGATGATTATGTACACTGACTACCAGTCAAAAATTTGGAGTAATAACGTTTGTGTTTTTGAAAGAATCCTCTTATGATCAACAAGGCTGCATTTATTTAACCAAAAATAGACGTAGATTGTAGAATGTTATTGTAAATTAACATTGCAATTTAAAATAACTGTTTTGTCTGTATGCCCATCAGACCGGAGCCTTGCGGTTGGCCACGTGTAATCTGCACACAGCTGCTGTCGGCGAAGGCATCAGTGCCGTTCTGCAAGACGTAGTTATCGCTCAGTACATCGAGCAACAGGAAGTTGCACGGCTTGGCCTCCCTCCGCCCCTCCTTCGGCGCTCTCATTGGCTTGAAGCCGGTTCAGTGAACTTTAACCTCATGACGGCTGACGTGGCTTTAGCCGCCGACCATCCAGCCAAATATGAGGTCCAGAGGCAGTTTCTGGAGCTTCATGACATGAAAACAAAAAGGTTCAAGCATATCTTTTATTGTATTTGGTCTATTGCTTAATGTGCAGGCAAGCACATTTACCATTTTG